TGCGCTGCTTCTCACCCTCATCTAACTAGCGCATAAGCAGGATGGTGAAGATCACTTAATGAGACATTTTCACACTCAGTCACCCCCGGAATACACTCATGGATAGCACAGTGGGCTCTGAGCTTTCAAAAAAAATGTTGAGACAACCTTATTGTTTTCATTGCTGATGTCACATGCTTTTTCATATGTTTCCCAAAGTTCTCAACTTCCCCACTGCCTGGCAACAAGGTGCTATTAGTTCAGGCATGCTAACTAATTAAATAAAAAACTCACTTGGAGGTGCTAAAAACTTCCAAGTTGGAGACATATGAGATGCCTCTACCTCCTGTGGGTGTGAACTTTGCACCTAAGTGCCAGGTCCTTTACTGAAAGCTGACTTGCTTGCTAAATTGACTTTTTCTGTGCAGGGACCCAAAGTGCCTGGGAGAGAGAGAGAGAGAGATTCAGAGTCTAGTGCTTGCAAAGATGTTCTTAGGACACTTTATTGCTGTTAGGTATAAGAAGGGGCTACATGCATCATCTCCAAATGAGTGATCTGTATGGCAGATCTGTAGGCAGAGGAATGGAGCAGAGAAATCAGAGCTACTTATAGGAAGTAATATGTAAGGAAAGTGACATTACGAATCAGTTGGAAAAAGATGACTTTCCAGATGGAACACCACCATCTGGAAGAAATAAGGTGATCTCTACTTCCATCCTTACCCACAAATCAATTCTGCATCAAGTATCTAAAATTTTTAACTAAAAAAACAAAACACTAGAAAAGTAGAAGTTTAAAAATATATCCTTGGTGGAGAAAGCTATTATGAGTAAGATATAAAAGGTAGATACTTAAAATTGATTAAATTCCACGACACAAAAACAAATGTTTTCTGATGGGAATAAATATACAATAAACAAAGTCAAAGACAAGAAAGAGAAAATGCCCACAATATATAATAAATATAAAAGACTACTTTCTTTAATATATAAAGAGTTTCTGCAAGTAAATTTGGAAAAATAACCCAGCAGGAAAGTGTCAGAGGATTCTTCAGAAAATAGAGTGGATTTTAAAACATATGAAAAGATGCAAAACTTTCTCATCCTATAAACTACCAAAGATTTAAAACTATGACCACACATTTTAATGGCCATCTTGTGAGGGACTCAGGTGCTGTCATATGCTTATTTGTGGGAATATTAAGTGATATAACCCTAGAGAGAGAAATTGAATAATATTTATCAAAATTAAAGTGTAGATAATCCTTGACCTAGTAATTTCACTTGTAGGAATTTATCCTACAGGCAAGCAACATATATATTCAAAAATACTCACTGCAGCATTGTTTATGAAAGCAAAAGGTGTTCATCCATTGAGGATTTATTTTAAAAATCAGAATACATCCGGAAAACACAGGTGTAGTGACTAATCCTCACCGTGAAGGTTTAGATAGAAGATGTTTTTCCTAATATGGGGGGATCGTGCGGCAGCTACAGCCAGTAGTTGCTGTCTGGGTCCAGTTAATCCTAACAGTTCCACATAGGAGGCTGCAGTCAACTAGGAGACTGATGGATGCCCAACCTGAAATCCAGAGTGATAGTGACAAGTCGTGAGGACCAGTTGTGGCCGAAGTCACAGTGCATGCACTGCAAGAGACTGTCCCTGCAGAGTGGATGTTACATACATTGTCTTTGTTTTGTATCAACTGGACCAGCCATTCTAGAATTAGGAGACCCCCTTGGAGCAAGGTGGGGTGGTTCCTGACATAGGGTGCCATCAGGATGTGCTTCAGGGCACAGTGTTCAGTGTCCCCCGAAGTAACTGCCTGCCTGCTGCCTCTGCCACCATTGAAACTTGGCCAGTGGTAGGGCAGAGACCCGGGACACCTGAGTCTGAACAGGTAGCTTGGGCATCTTGCCTTATTTTTATGTCGTTTAATTGCCGACTGTCTAAAGTTTAATGTGCTGCACTATGTAAATATTTTATCCACTGAGCCTGGCTAACTATCCTATTTTGATGCCAGCCAAGTTTTGGGGATAAAATGGTACCTGCCCAACATCAAGTGCCTTTATAGTTGCAAGAAATGGAGAAGTTTAGTATGTGAGGAGAAAAATACATGAATTTGAAAAGCTTTTAAAAATCAGAATACATTCATAGAATGGAATCCTTGGCAATTTAACAACTTAACAAGAATGAATGTCTTGAGATGGGACAGTTGTCCAGACTTCACTACTGAACAAAGCAAGGTAAAGAACAGCACCTGTCATGGGTTATCCTCTGAGTAGTAAGAAGTTGATGACGGAGGTTGCCTCTGAGGAGTAGCTAAGGGGTCCATTTTATTTTATTCTCTATACTCATTTGTACTTTATAAATTATGTACAATCTGCATGTTTACCTACTTACAAGGTTTTGTTCTAATGAGAGTATAGGAGATTATTGCACAAATCTGGCTTGATGCAGGAATCCAGCGCCACTTCTCAGATGGAGGGGCAGAGGGGGTAGATACCAGGAAGCCAACTATCAAATCCATCCAGACAGGGCTCACTTCAGACTAAATATCAAATGTGGAGTATTTCAATCCTTTCCCTTTAAAAAGTGAGCCTATTGGGTGTCCTCAAGATTACAGAGTTTGAACAGGACACACACACACACACACACACACACACACACACACACACACACACACATCACTGCACTGCCTTTAAATCCAGGAGTGGACACATTTAAGAACAACTCAGCATTTTATGGTTAATTTCATTTTTAAGCAGAAAAAAAATGGAAGCTTTGTCTGAAGAAATTATGCCATCACTTTTCGTTGTTTTTCCTTTATACCAGAGGTGGGAACAAAGAGTAGAGATGAGACTGCAGTTTTGATCTGTGCAACCTCATTTGAAATCATTCTCTATGATTTAAGTTTCCTTGAAATGAAAATGATAAATTGTGTTGACTTAGTTAGATTTGGGGGGAAAATTGATTGGACATTCTATTGTCAAGGAAACCAATTCTCTCTCTAGCATGCACACACACACACACACACACACACACACACACACCACGCCACACCATACACCAGCCAATACAGTGGCCTTTAAACTCTTCATCTGACATTTTAAATTATTTAAAAATACCCAAGGGCTCTACTCTGAAATCTGTACAAGAAGTACTCAAGGGAAGTGATTCTTAGAATTCAAACTTAGGGAGGTGTCTTTCTAATTCTGGGGAAGCCACAGTCATTCTGAGTCAGTGCTGTGTCTCGGAAAGGCTTGGGACAGTTTCCAAGGTCAGTGTCAAGTCCACTGCAGAATGAAACTACTGGAAAGAAGAAGCTGGAATGAGAACTTCTGAAAAAGCAACAGAATAGCACAAGGGTAAGAGAAAGGAAAGCGGTTCACACACCATGCACCCCCAGGCCCTGCCTTCATCTGGCATACCAAAAACAAGAAGCTATGCGCTTTAAAAAAAAAAAAAAAAAAGGTAAATAAAGACTAAGTGAAAGGGGTCTTAGAGACAGAGGGAGAGTTGCTTATTATTGACAGATGTGCACTGTCTTCCGGAGATCCACCATGGTGTGTATTCTCTGCTGCCTCAGTGCCAGGTGTGGCCACGTGACCTGCTCTGGCCTCACCATGGGCACAGGAGTTTCCAGCCTTGCTGCTGGGCTTGGCCAACAGGATGTCAGCCGATAACGAGCAGGATGCTACAGGCCTCTCGTGCTGTTGGTCTCTCTCTTATCCCCTGCCATCCCAGGGACTAGTCTGCTGTGTCTTGTCTGTCTTCCCAGGAGGACGAGGCGTGTGTAGAGCAGATGCCCCATTAAACCTGGGCTCTGAGTTAGCTCCCTGCTCTGCCTGCGGAGGCACCAGCAGCACGGCTGAACTTCCTCGCCAAGGGTGCGAATATCAGTCACGTCCAGTCAAACCTTAGACACGCGATAGTTTGTTAAGTCACTCCACTTGGGAGAAGTGACAAACTAGTACAGAGAGCAGGTAGTAAAGCACCTTAATTTATTATTTTGGCACAGTCACGTCGCAAATTAAAGAATGGTTAAAAGAACTTGATCCAAACCATAGGGTTCCTGGATGGGCCATTTCCACAAAGAGACAATTCCATTCCTTTCAAAACTCTTCCCTGGAAGAACAGTTGTCACCTATCCCTGGGTAAAGGGCACAACCCCTGGTCCCTGTGCTTGGATGTACATTAGGAACATCACAGAACTTCACTGCACTTAAGCAGGTTACCCCAGGCCTGCGGAGAAGCTGTGTGAGAACTGACTAGAATGGTTGGACTTGAGTGTGGAAAGTTAGGCTAAGCATCGACACGCCTCAGGTCTGCAATGGCCCCACCATGAGTTTGATCACTAGATTCTGGAGTCATTTTATTCTTTTAAAATAGGCACATACTCTGGCTCACCAGAAGGGAAAATTCAGGAAAAATAAAGGGAAGAAGGTCTCTAGTACTTTTCACAGCTGAGAACGAGGGTGACTGTATGTCCCAGTATACCCAGGACAGTCCTTGCTTGCACTGTGGTCCTGGGGTCAGGATCAATAGCACCCCCTTCACTGTCAGAAGTGCAGTGGGCTGGATAATGGGTGCCATGTTTCTACAGCTCTATGGGTATATTTCTACAGAGTTGAACAAAACCAGTCCAAGTAAGGTTTCGATAAGTCTGTGGGGGAAGAGCTGACACGGTGGTCCAGGCAGCTTAGACTAAGGCCTGGAGAGCTGCTGTATCCCTGAAGCACACCCTGAAACACAGGGGTTAGAGATGGCACAGGCACCCAGGGCCCGACCCAGCTGGTCAGGGTCTGAAAGACAGGGACACGGCATTCTTTCAAGCTAGCTGGGTGTTTTACCTCGGACATCCCCGAGGTCCAGGTCAGGAGCCTCAAAGATAGGGCACTGTTTTTGTGGATCCTCTAAAGATACAAACAATGCAACATTCCCATTCCTGTCACTGCTTCCATATCTATTAACGTGCAGAAATCAGATTCCATGGTGAGAGGATGAAAGTGTTCCTTACCCGCACAGGGGGCCGTAGAGTCTCTTGAGCTCCAGGTGGCTTTCCCAGAAACCCTGCAGAGAACAGCACCACAGTAAGCCTAAGATGAAACCAAATTTCAAGTATGCAAACTTGTTCTACCAAGTATTCCAGAGCCACGAGACCACAATTATATATACAATAAAAAAGAATTGCAGTTAAATGACTTTTCAAGTACTTTGCAGATATTAGAATAAACTAGTAGCTTAAAAAAAAAAAAAAGTTGATTGCCCAGGAAAAGTTTCAGTCAGCTCTGCTTTAATGGACAGAAGAGAGGCTTTGTACTTAAACTATTTACGTATAATTGCTGCTAAAATATTTGAACACTATTTGCTTTCTCAACTGTTAACATTCCCCCTGCAATTTGGTTTATATTATTATTATTTTTGGCAAAGCCTCTTTTCACAGCCACTATATGTGTAAACTTCTGCTAAATCTATCCAAATTATCATAAATTCTGAATGCTCATGATCCAAGTTAAATTTTAACTAAAATCAACATTTCAAAACAGAAGAACTTACAATAACTTTATATGGGAAGAATCTAGATATGCTTCTTCATGGGGAAGGCGGCTACCTGGAGGAAAACCCAGAGGGTCAGGAGATGCTGGACCCTGTGTTGGAGGGGTGGCCTGTGCATGCAGATACGGGGGTTCTTAGGGGAGAAGGGTTGGAAATCGCTAGATCCATTGTGCTGTGGCAATGAAACATACATGAGAATCTGTTTGGGTTGGGAGAGGCGTGGGGCGTGGAAAATGCTAGACTTGTGGGGATGTAGCACACAGGTGGATGTGTAAAAGGTGGGTACGGAGAGGGTTAGGGGACAGAAGAGTCCATTCTCACTAAATCTACTGAATGGCACAGCCTAAGCCTGCCTTGTATCAGGGAAAGCTTATATGAATATAAAAATAGTCACTGAAATTACTATGTTCTAGAAAGAACTTGGCAGGGTTTGTCCATACAAGGAGGCGAGCTGAAAGGGAGCATATGTGGAAATGATCCAGAGGCAGGAGCCCAGGGCTCTCTCCACGTCGATAGTTACACTGTTTTCCTCAAACTGTTAATACCAAATTAATTACTCAACTGAATGCAGCCCCCCCTCCCCCCAAACATGTGAAATTTATTTAATTTCCTGTCTGGTTTATTCCGTCTTGACACATGCATTATTTCAGTGGCTTCGGGGGCTCACAGGAAGCCGGAGGAGAGAGCTGTTGGTGGGTTTTGAAGTTGCGAATCGGTCACCCCTGAGGTGGGAGGGGAGGTGTTTTGTAAAGCACTAGGAAGGGTGAGACAGCAGCAGCGACAGAGCGCGAGAGGGGGCGTTGGGGGAGAAAGGGAAGAAAGGAACAGACAAGAAGCTGCAAGGAGCGGGGAGAGGACAGAAGGAGCTGGGCGCCTCGCTCCACGCGCCCCTGGCGAGTGTGTGTGTTTGGGGGGGCTTCTGACGCCATCACGAAGGGCTGGCACCAGGTGGGCCCTTCCTGCCTGTTGGGCTCAATGACGCTTCGCTTACAGGATCTGTTGGCTTCTGATGTTGGGTCTGGCAAGAGCCCCCCATGCGTTGGCAGCATGAACCATCTGCCTTCTGAGGAAATCCAGCAAGAGACAGAAAGAGTAACATCGAGGAGAGGAGTCCTGCGCCCGAATCTGCAGAAGCCTGTGGACATTGCTCCTGGCGCGAATGTCATTCTGGGGCCCCCCCTGCGCTGTCTTGCGGAGCCCAGCTGCCCTCTGCCCTTTTGTATCTGTCAGCTCGTGGCCGCTCTCCCCGTCACCCTGGCCCACCACACAGAGGACGATGGACTCAATTTGGAGACCGAATTTGCCTGCATCCTTTATCCCTAATCACAAGAGATACGAATGTCCCCCCAACAGGCTTCTCTTCCGCTGCCGCCACCACCTGAGGTCAAGCCCTCATCACTTTCCTCTAGACGTCAGCAACAGCTGGGGTCCATGGGCCTCACCTAAATCCCTCTTCTGTGCAGTGTAGTCTTCCACTGGGGGTCCCTCTCCTGCGCACAGAGGGGGCATGTGAATAGTTCTCTACTTGCCTTTCTAGACTGTCGGTGTCTAGCCCACCTACCTCTCTCCACACGGCTGCATCCTCCAGGGCTCCCCAGTCTTTGGCTTCTAACCAGTCCAGGCTGCCCCTGTCATGCTCTGCCGGAGTTTTCACCTGGTGCTATCACACACATTGTTACTCCCTACCTGGTGTGAGTCCTTGTCTGTGTCTGTTGCTCCTATAAGACCCTCTTCTCCAGGAAGTCCTCCGGACGAGCCTAGCCAGATGCACCTCCTCCCTCTCCTCTAAAGAACAACCAGCAACCATCTAGGTGCCTGATCTAGGCTAGGACACACCCCCACTGGAGCTGTACACCATGAACTGGTGCATACCTTGAAGGCAAAAGTAACTTCTGTACTCTGAACAATCCCAAATCTGGCACATCTAGACACCCAATAGCGAGGTTTTGGGGTGAATGGATGAATGAAGGCATAATAGGACTATGCATATTGAAGAGTGATCAGAGATGGATCACAGGCAATAAGAATTCATTCAAGTGGAGGAGGACTCGGCACAGAGCCCTCACTCGGAGACCACCGTGGGTGTGGGTGACCCGGATGGGGATGCTGCTTCTCGGGAAAAGCCTGCTCTGGGCTCCACACATCTTATGCTAGAAAATAGTGCAAGAGACCCCTTACCTGGCGGAAAAACGTCAAGTTTCCAATGAAAGGAGAAGGCTTGGGGTGTCTGATGCCCACCTTCTCCAGGCTGGAAAACGCAGACATGGAGTACCTGAGGGGAAAGCAAACTTTAAAAAGCAAGAAATTGAAATTTGCGTTCATACTTTTGGTCCTAGGAGAAGTTAGATTTTTTGAGTTGCCTGGAAGGTAGAAGAAGTTTCCAGTCGATCATTTTTAGGGACTGAAAATGTGGAGGCCCAGAGGTGGGTGACTAGCAGAGAGCTCACTGAATTCCTTCTAGTTGAGCGACAGCTAGAGAAGATGGACTCCTGAAGGCCCACGTTGGGAGACACTTAGGAAATGATATATCCAAATGCCCTTGAACACCTGAGATTTCTACCAGTAAATTGTTTTCGCAAGATGCCTCTCCTCCCTGGCTCAGTTCTTTTTGCCTCTAAAGCTCTCGAGAACTGTTGTCTTAGAAGGCAAGCCCAAAAAAAAGTAACGTTGGCAAAAATCAGTTTCCTGTGCAAATCCGTATATTCTCTTGGTCCAAACTGACCCCTGCACATAATTTGTTCCTCATCACATTCCATGGCCTAATAGGGAAAAATAAAAACCAGGGAGGAAGGCAACACACCATGGAGAGTAGACCTCATCACCAACTGCTTACAACCTCTTTAAATCTTTGTTTTCACGGCCTGCGACCATATGGAAAGCATATTTTCTTAACCAAAAATCAGGAAACGTGGCTCGACAGATTTCTGTGCCACTTTCCAGGAGAAAGCGGCAGTCTGAGAAGTGCAGTGTGGCTGTCAAAACATTGGAATTACTAGGATATTTCAACAGTTTATGGGAACAGAGGGATAACACAGTTAAAGTCAGAATCGGCTTCGAAAAAATATCCGGACATATGGCTGCAATCCCTAATCAGCAAGCCAATTAGGTCAAAAGTTCAGTTAGTTCAGAAAAATTAATGAATCAAACTGGGTGTTTAGCATCCTGCGGAGATCTGCCAAATCTCAATTTGGGAGCCGGGAAAAATGCAGAGAGTATCACTACAGCCGGCTTCAAAGAAGGACTAGACCTTAAAACAACATCAATGCTCTGAGAACCACTGGCAAGAGATGGAATGTTCCCTACAGTCTTTGACCTTCCGGTTTCCCTCATGCCATCCAATAAGTCTCACTTAAATAAGAACATTTCACCCAATATGCAGCTGTTCAGGCAAAGGTCAACCCAGTGTAACTGTTGAGTTGTATTCGTCTATGCAATGGGTCTATTTTTAAAGTGGCCACAGCAACCAGGGCCGAAGGGAAGGTCAGTGCAGCTCGCAGCCCTCCCGACCAGGGTTTCCACCATAGGAGCGCATTATTAGGTTTGAATGAATTCCCAGGACATCGAATTTAAGTCCATGTTCAAGTGTAATTACAGATCACACTCAAGCCACATGCGAATTACAGGGATTAATCATGCCAACATTCCTCTTCATTAGCCTGTGTACCAAAGGTTGACAGCGGAGTGTATGAAAGTTATTCTTTCAAATTACTATGATATTTTAACATAAATGCCCTTACAGCAAAAGGGAAGGAACCCAAGAAAACTCACAAGTTCCCTCAACACTTTCCCCAACATCCTCGAATCCGGCTTCTTGGTTCATTTCTTCATCAGTTTTTGTGAATTATTTTCTAAATGTAATCTCTAATGGGTAGAAAGAAATATGTAAATCTTGGGCCACGTAATTACATCTTAATTTTGTAATTAGATGTCTTGATTGTCTAATTAAAGGACGAGAAGTCTGTGCCTAATTACACATGCTAATTATTATGCAAGTCCATGCCCTAATTATGTAACTCCACTTGACGAAAATACCACTCGTGTGTCTCTGCACAAAATTCAGACATTTTCAAACATATGGCATCAGCAGAGAATGTTCTGGACACAAGCATAAACTTCACTTTGCAGCCTGGACCCAAGTATAGAACTTTAGCTGGGAATTGGCCAAGCGGTGCCTCCGGTAGCTGCAGTCCCCATGCCAAATCAGTCAGGAGAGATCGGGCCACCAGACTTCCAGGCAAAATTGCAAAGTTAATTCCATTTGTCTTACTCCCACTTCCTTCTCTGCACCCTTACTTCACGCTCTCTGCCTCTGGAGTCCCTATGCTGGCCTGTCTCAACAGGATCAATCAGAAGTCATGGGCTCTAGTTGCTATGAGCTGAAGAGTGTCACGGGGAAAAAAAAAGTTTTTTCCTGACCCCCCCAAAACTTTAGAATATGACCTTATTTGAAGAGACGGCGGTTGCTGATGTAATTAGTTAAGATGAAGTCATACAGACGTAGAGAGGACCTCTAGTCCAGTATGACCGGTGTCCTGTAAGAGGAAGATGACATGAAAACATGCAGACCAGGCGGTGTGCCATGTGCCAACCAATGCAGAGATTGGCATTAATGCAAGCCAGGGGTCATCACAGACAGTGGGTCAGCAAATCACGAGAAGCCAGGAAGAAGCAAGGAAGGATTCTCCCCCGCGGGTTTCAGAGGGAGCATCACCCTGCAAAAACCTTAATGTCAGATTTCTAGCTTCCAAAACTGTGAGACAATAAATTTCAGGTGTTTTAAGCCCACTTAGTCTTGGCCGCCCTAGGAAACGCACACACCAGGAGTACCCATGAGTGCATTTGAGCAAATCAATGAAAAAAAATGATTTTAGAAATTTTTATCCTGTTACTTTAAAATGTGGCATTGTGAAAAATGTTTCCTTTTTCTAGCAAATGGTGCAGTAAGTCCTGTGCTATCAAAATAGCACAGGTGGCTGGATGCTGCTATGGAAGGCAGGTCATGTGCAACCCGTCCTGTGGCCACCACGATGTGACATTTAGACCAGCTTCCCTTTGACGGGAATTAGTGCAGAAATGTCCCGCGGTCATGATCGCACACACCTATCGTTGCCACTAAGGACACTTAGGCTGGAAAACGACTGCAGAAAGACTGCTGTAGCTTCAGAGGGCACCCTTGGACTCTGCTTCCACAAGTAAAGCAGAGGTTTATCGCCACAGGACACGAATCCAGCAGCGCCTGTGGGCACCTTACACTGTCCATTCATACAATAAATGGAACATATAGAATATTTCAAAAAAACCTTCAACGTTTGAAAGCCTAAAATTTCCCCAATATTTTGTCGTCCCCAAAGCCCTGTCTTGATGCATTCAACAAGCATTGTTGTGTAGCCAAAGAAGCCACTTGTGATAAATTGGGGGATGTTTTGATGACGCTTGCAATGACACCAGAGAGGACTAAGCTTCTCTCTGCTGCACTTTTCGGAACAGCCAACTCCTCAGTTCACTCATGTCCTCACCAAATACTACAACTTAATTCCTACTTACGAGCTGCTTTGGGAAATTTCAGAAGCCCTCGATGTTTTTGAAATGGTGTAAGATTCCTTTGGCAAATATCACGTCTCCTGGAATAAAAACCTTGAAGCTCCAGGAACAGGTGAAGCCCCCCGGGATGGGGGTGCCACTTGTCCTACTCTTTGGAGAAGAGCCCTTTCTAGTGGTTAATCTCCCCTCTGCACAGCCATCAAAATGGTGGCCAGCAGCTCCTTAAAAAATGGTGCCCACATCAGAAGCATCAGTAGAAACAGGGGCTTAAAATTGTTGCCTTTTCAAAAGGATTTTAGACACAGTGCAGAGCATGAGGTCTGCTAGCTTTTCAGAGCACAAATCAAAGAACTTGACAGATATTTGGACCAAAAAGCTAGAACTATTAGGGGAAAAGTCTATTCTCACTTAATTGTAGTTCTTAGTTTTTTTCTTGGCATAACTGTTTTGTATTTGAGATCATATTCTCTATATTTTTTCTATTTCTACTTTTTTCATTTAATGTAAGGAAACCTCCATGTTATTAATCATTTGCGAATGTTATCTTATGACTCTCTAATATTTCTCTCTCTCGTGGACAGATAATTTACTAAGCTATTCTCACTGTTAAGTATTTAGGGTGTTTTTTATTTTTTTAGCTCATTGATCTTATGACCCTACAATGAACACCTTGGTGCAGCAGGCTTTCCCAGCACTGTCTGCATGAAACACTTCCAGACCGGAAATCCATGAGTCAGTGGTTTTAAACATTGACAACACAATGCCAAAGTGCTTTCCAGAAGGTGTGTCCAGTGAGCCCCACTACCAGTGGTTCCATTTCACCAAACATCCTCATGAAGTGTTTCCGAATCTTGTAGACATATCAATGTACCCCAAACTCTTTCTTTCATGACTTGAGAGAGAACATTTTTGCCTTACTCTTTTCTCCAATTTCCAAAATATTTCCCAACTTTGAAATTATCTTTTGCTTTACCCCCCCCCCATTCCCACAAACTTCTAGCTAGGTGGCGGGCAGGACGTGGTCACACCAATTGGGTAAAGAATTAGTTGGAAAGTGAGTAGTCACTAATAGGATGGCAAGCTGGCTCCAAGTTCATAGTTGGGCAGGAAGAGGGAGATAAGCAAGTGAATTCAGAATAGTTTTCATTTAGAAGAGAACTAACAGCAGGCTTGCTAGTTGATATGTTAGTTTCAAATTCCAGGTCCTCCTCCCTCTTGCCCCAACTTCCCCCAGGCACAGCTAGAGAGACCGTAAGTGAAGAAGTTCCGGCTTCAAGGCAGGAGTGCCTTGGAAGTAGCATTTCTAATGTGAGTCTTTCCCATTCCCCTGGTGGGCTGCTCTCTCTCAGCATCCTCACCCTCATGTTCATTTCCATCTCCCGTGACCCCTTCCTGCAAGCCCTCGCTCTCAGCCTCCCCTCAGGGCTGGAACTCATCCAATATGCTTTTCACTCATTTGTCAATGTGTAGTAATCAGCTTATTTCCTAAGATGTAACCTACAAACTAGAATGTTGGTTTACTAATTTATAAGAAGAGGTGTCCTTTTTCAGGAGCAAGCATCTGATGCTTCCTGGCACAGCAACTTCTTTCTGGTACTGGAGAAGCAAGATCAGTCATCAGTGATGTGTTGGCCCAGGTTCTGTGAAAGAGCTGACTCACCAGGACAGGTATGTCACTGGGACCCTCGTAAAATCACACTGCCCCTGAATACACCTCGATGAAGTGTTGGC